TCTTTGGGGGCAGGACTGCTAAACTGTAATATAGTCTATACTAGGCAGAGGGTAGTTTATAACTAGACTCTGCGCACAGGGTACAGTACGTCTGAAATGGTACTAATATAAATGACACAGATGCCAGTATGTTTGAAATTTTACCAATATATACCTAAAACAGGAACCAATATATTTGCATAAGATAGTAAAATCTAATAGCCTTAATTACTTCTTTTTCTTTGCACTCTTCCATCTAATAGACTTTAAGTATTGTGTGATTTTAAGTTGACACATTCGCAGATCACAACAACACTCATGGGAAATCTAGACCTCTCTTTTCTAAACAATAAATGTAAGCTTCTCAGTTGAAGCATATCTTTGTTGTGATGCATAATAAGCAGTGAAGGGATTCACACTTTATCTAAGGCGTGTATAGAATTTGAAGACACCAAGTTGGATCATTAATTGTTTCAAAAATAAATCGAGGCCAGCTACATTCTGGGTCATGGAAACTCTTCAGATGACCAGTCAAGATTTGTTTGGAATGGGCAAAGAATTGTGGGTTGATACCTCTTATGATTACTGACTAGACACATATGAAAAAGTATAAAAACCTTGCATGAAAACCTATTTGGTGAATCATGTCTAAAAAAGCTTACACCATGTTGAATTATGGGAAAGGTAACCTCCTGTGACAAAAAACGATTATGGGTAACATTGCCTCTTTTAAAGGTTTGTCTGAGAGAGACTGAGTCTAAACAAAAGATTTGTGGATTGTTACCTCTTGTGATGATGACCTATTGAGCAGACGCGTCTGAGAGAGGCTGAGTTTACGTGCGGCAACCATACTTCCACCAGTTGTAGTTCGTCTCTCCAGCGCACTCGCTGTCCGCGTAGCTCTCCGCACTGAATAATCCACCTTGATAGCATCAGTGACTCACCACAAACAAAATTTGCATTCAAACAGAATCCACAAAATCTTATATGCAAAAGTCATTATATCTCATCAGACACTGTTATTTGTGATATCATATTCCCATTTTGGAAGTCAGTCATTGAGCTTCCTATACATATAAATATAGCCACAGGTGCCTAGTCTACAGTTTCCAGATGCTGTAGACAGCTCAGAAATGTCCTTCAAATATTCATGAGAGATTTAATCACAATTGCAAAATATTTTGCAGTAATCTGTAAATCTGCCTACTAAGATTCCCATAAAAGCTTCAGATGAGTGTATCCCGAGTTTGATTATATTCTGTGCATTCCCAGATCGGCTTCTAGCTCATACAGGCTAAACACACTTACTAATCATCCTACACGAGTCAATATCTATCTCTGCAATATACTGTAGCTATTCAATAACTGAGAGCCGCTAACTTGATATATATTGAATCTCACACATATTGCTACGTTATCATTGTGACCTGTTTAGACATTAACACCAAGCTTCCACCAGTAATATGTCACGATTGGAAACATGTAACGATTTGGAAAAATATATGACGTCTCACAATTTTCTGCCTTCGGAAACTGATTGTCACATGACCAATCCTTACTAATTATATCAAACCCTTTATATCAAGATTCAATTAAACTCATAAAATTGCAGGTCATTGAAACACAAAAATACCTTCATGACATTACCAAATCTGAGAAGCACAGATAATTCTTGAATGTCATATTCTAGGAAATTCCTCTCTTATCGTTAGATATTGATTAAAAAAATTGAGAGCAGAGGAATATTTGTTCCGAGGACATGTATGGATTGTGGCATATATTGATCTGAGTATTGATCAAGCTGTAGCAACCCAATAAGTTGTAACCCTTGTACCATTCAGTTTTCTTATGAAACACCAAGGCAGAAATTAGCACTAAATACCAGTAAATAAAATCACACAATGATCACTTTTAGAATACAAATTTAAGTCTGCAGTACAGTACATAGTATTAACAACCATAACCTATGTTGCATAATTTTGTTAGATTAAGGAGATATGAAGGTGAAAATAAAAATCCATCTGAGAAATGGGATAGTAGATATACCCTGAGCAAACAAGCGAGTATTCTACCCTCTGAATAAAAACAACCAATTGACATTTTGCAGAACCATATAATATGTTTACAAATGTTGATCATAGTTTTTGAGGGAGGACAGAGTAGGCTCAGAATACTCCTGGTAATATAAAGAGTGAGATAAAGTCAACTGGGTTTGTAAAGGGTAGTATACACGGGGTCAATAGTCTATCATAAAAGTACACTTTTTGAAAGAACCAAGAGTTCTGAAGATGAATTGAGGGAAGGTGTCATAGACCCATTCGATATTTAATGGTTTGCTTTTAAATCATAGAATTGATTCTCTTTTGTACTTTTGTATTTGGGTGATATTTTGGTTGATTTAATGTTATTTGGGATCCTTTAAACCATCATTCCTGTTGCTTTAAAATAAGCTCCGTGATAATATACATGTGAACCTATTATAAGACAAAGGCACTGACACAAACAGTTAATGCATCAAAACTTTATATTGTTAAAGAATGGTAGGGGCTGGAGCTTTTACTTTTAAAAGCCAACATATTGTCAGGATTTTCAAATTATCAGGGTAAAATCTTTTGTAGATGATCTATCAGTCATATCTACAATTAATAAAATGTTCTTATAAGTATATCCTTAGTGCTATTAAGAATGTAAAAGGTAAATAGACAAAAAGGGTGTGATACAATTTTTGATATCGTACAAACTTACAGTAATTTTAGTTATGCCCTAATTTTGATCAGCAAGATTAACAACATATGAATTCGAGTTATAAAGAACAATGAAAAAACAGTTTCATAAGTACTGGACTCAATCTAGAACCTTGCTAACCTTCCTTACACCATGATCTCAGAGTAGTTTTCCTGATATAGCCTGATTGCCCCAACTACCTTTTCTCTCTCTGACAGGCTGTATAAGATGTCAATCTGGTACTTTTATTCGAGGCATGACTAATTCCAGTATATCAAACTGTTACCCCATCTTAACAACTACATATAGTAGAACCTGTAAAGTGGAACACCTCTTTTAGTGGAGCACTTTTCAGAGTCCCAAGACCAACTGACTTAATGTTAAATAAATCTACAAGTAGAACACCTCCCAAGTTGAACACTGGTAGAGGTACCAAAGGTGTTCCACTTACTGTATTTGTACTCCAACCCCAAGTTTTTAACCTTTCTTATCTAGAATCATTCGAAATCTATTTATCATATTTCAGAAACAATTACGGAAGAGATTCCTGCATCAAAAATATTTTTTATGGTCAATGAATCATTAAAATGAAAAAATTATGTTGAATCCACTTGAAAAAGTTCAATTGCATAAGTTGAGGAATATGAGAAGTCCTGTATGAAGCCTCTGGAGACCCATATCTACTTTTCTCCCTCAGGGGATGTTAGAGAGGGGACACAATTGCTTAGTAGGACTAGTCAGAATTAGCACATTTATGTACCTAGCTGAGAAAAGAACAGAATAAAACACAGATTTACTTAATGTCTGATTTTCCTATGATTTATCTTATAGATATTGTCTTTTAAATGAGCCAGCAAAAGAACCATATGACCTGGACAAACCCTACGATAACAACAACAGAGCAAATCCAAACCACTATCAGCCTACAACCAATGAATCAGAACATAAGTTCACTAAAGATGAATGAAAAATTCCGTGAGTTCTCTTTGCAGGATGCAGACAGACAAGTTAAGGAATTTCATGTGGGAAACCATGAATCACTGGATTGTAGTAATGCTTCATTGAGACCAGGAACTACAACTTCATTAACATGCTGCTATCAGTTCTCCAGTTCTAAACTCTTATCATTCTGACATAGAGTATGAGGGAAATTGGCCCTGCCTTGGTGTCTATTCACAAGTTGCTTGCCCAAAAAACCCATGCTATAGAAGGTTAGCAATCGACGACAAGTGCAAATCCAGTAAAAATGGTCCATATTGAATGCTAGGATTGGTTAATCAGATGTTACTATTATCTTTCTATATAAGGGAAACCATTACAAATCATCTTGACTCGTTCTGATTCTTATCACAAGTCCTTACCTATCTTTTGTTAGAGAGGAGATGTATAATAGTATAATAATGATCTTAATCTACTGCACTTGTCTATGGTATTCCATTTATGTCTTTCTAAAGAATTGCTTATGATTACATATTGAATATAAGAAAACGATTTTAGATATTCGATTTATCAGAATATTATCTAGGTGCATGTTTAGAGAGAACTATTTTCTTTGAGGGTAAATGGTTAGACAAGGAATATATATTTGTGTTCCTGACTGCTGATGGTAACAGAAACCTAAAGGAATTATAAAGATGACCTATGGTGGCTCACATTCAGCTATTGCCGTGAATTTTAAAACAAAACAGAGACACATATGGAATCAAATATATATATATCTGTTGAAGTGACCTCTTTCAGCTGAACATCCACCTCCAACTGGTTACCACACAGAGTAGTAGCTGATTAGAGATGTGATAAAAATATTGTTGCAAAACAATTACAAGTGAGGTAAAGATGATGGTACAAGTGAATCAAAATCCAGGAAACCTTGATATGTTCTACAGTTATATGTTCTACAAAAAGCTAAGCTCAACTCAATATATATAATGATTGATATTAAAAATGATATGATTATGGGCTACCATCATGGTGTTCCTTAACGTTTGTTTTACTATACATGTATGTATTATAAGTAGATCAGCTACCATGTTATGATTATCTATTTTGATCAATCAAGGTATTTCATACGACTGAAGCAAACACATTGGTGAACAATATGAAGGTTATATTATGGTGTATTACATACCTAGCGAAGCATTTGTATTGAAGTCAATGGCAAAGCTAGCGGGCTATATCCAGCGATATTGCCCGATTACCCCGATATAGCCCTCCTCCCTCGTTTTGATGTTAGATTTCTCTAATAACCATGCGAACATCATCATGACGTCATGTTTGTTTACAAACAAACCGAACTACTTTCTTACGTACGCCATCTATACATATTTACAAAGTCAAAATGGCAGCTCTTGCAGACGAGTTTGAACTGAATGGTAATTCGCAAGTTATAGAACCTATTCTTGATTTAGATGAGGGAATCTTCGATGACAAAGATTTACTAGACTTTGTGAAAAACATTGAGCAACAAACTGAAAGAGATACACCGTTACCTTCTGAATCCGAGCCCGTGTCAATGGACCTGACAATGAAAGAGCAGGAGCTCCGAGAATTTGTGAATGAAAATGAGAAAGTGAACACTCGAGTCGCTACTAACACTGCTCTGAATAAAGTAACACAACACTTGAGATCATTAAATGAGAATAGGCCAATTGAAGAAATCCCACCTCAGCAACTGGATATACTATTAGCAGATTTTGTAAAAAGCGCTAAAAAGTCAGGCAGAAAGAACAGTGAAGATACTGAATTTGAGCCTGGTACACTTACTTCCTATATCAATTCCATCGAGAGATATTTAGGACGCAAGGGTTATTCTGTCAGCTTAAGGGATAGAACTTTTAAGTTATTGCAGGACACTCTATCATCTAAACGTCGAAACTTAACAAGAAACGGCAAAGGAAACAAACCAAATGCAACGGTGGCTCTGACCAATGCAGAGATTGATATTTTGTGGACCAAAAACGTTCTTGGTGACAGTGCTCCTTGGAACTTACAATTCACTATGTGGTTTATGATATGCCAACAATTCGGCTTTAGAGCTCGTGATGAGCACAGGAAACTTGAATGGGGAGATATTGGGGAGATATTGTTTTGAAAAAGATGCCCGATGGAACTGAATATATAGAGCTTCAACGAACTAGGGGCTCGAAATGTCGTGATGGAAGTACAACAGCTAAAGAAGATAGTCGTAAGGTTCCACCTAGATGTTTTGCTATTGGGGGTGAACGTTGTCCCATACGTATATACAAGGCGTTTCGAACACATAGAATTCCATCACTTAGTATGGATGACAGTCCATTCTATCTCACTACAATACCCGTAAACAGACTAAGAGGTGACTCTTGGTATTACAAGTCACCTCTAGGAAAGAACTCCCTCTCAAATTTTCTCAGGACAGCCTGTGAAAAGGCTGGGATTTCCGCAGAGAAGCATAGCAACCATGCTGCTAGGAAAACTCTTTGTCAGTCAATGACTAAGGCGAACATTCCAATTGAAAAGATGAAACAAATTAGTAACCATAGGAACAGTAGTAGTTTTGAAGAGTACCAAGATGGCATTGATATCGAGGAACACAAGGAAATATCACGCACAATAGCAATGGGAGGAAAGCCAATGGAAAATGTTCAACCACGCCCCCCTGCTGAACCCCAAACACAGATAGCTAGTGCTATCCAGGGTATATTTGGAAATGATGGACAATCAAAGTTTGACAACTGCACATTTAACATTAATATAAAACTAGCTAGTACCACCACCAGCAGTAATACAGTTTTTTCCTCCCAGGAGAGTCCTCGGAAAAGACAGAAAAAGGAATAAAGATGGAGAACATGATCTGACTCTGTAAATAGATACTGTATTAAAGTTGAATTCTGGATGTTATTTTTGACATTTTTCATTTTGGCATTTATAGTTCACATAGTGATTTCATAGTCAAAGACAGTTACCGCCCTGTTAAAAATGTTCAACCTTGAATTTGGGACATCAATGATTGTACTATGGTTGTTCAATGGTTTTTCAAAGGTTGTTTTTTTCAACAGATGAAAAAAGCCATGAATTTTTCATTGGTTAGTTCAAATCCCTTGAATTTTTAAAACAATGCCTTGAAAACATAATTCAACACCTTGAATTTCACCTGCAACCCATTGAAAATGAAAAACAATGATGATTTCAAGGTACAGTAAAACCAGCATATATGAAACAGTAAAGAATATGTTAAATTCTTGCTGAAACTGTTTCATTCAGACAGGTCTTTTTTCCAAATGTGGTTCATTCTTTAAAAAAAAGGTGGGTGTTCAGATATGACCATTTTGGCTCTAATTCACTTTGAAAGTGCTAAAGATGGTGAATACTGCATGATCATGTCATCGAACGAAGTTCCAGGGGGATTTAGAGAAGCTATCTGTCGGTTCAAGTTTTATTTTATTGATACCTAGGGACAAAGGAGCTCTGGTTGAGAAAAAATTGCCAGGATGAAAGCATAAAAAAATGTATAAATCAAATACCAGTGGATAGGTTATATACAAGTAGAAAAAAGAAGTAAAAAAAAGCAAAAGCATAATATTTGACTCAAATATCAGATGATGGATTTGGTTCTAATCTTATATGCTGATACTGAGAGACAAAGAAGCTACAAGAATTTTCATGATGGTTGCTATTTATCTTTTGTTTGATGGGATTTATTACTCTGTAGAGTTGCTTTTTCCTCATCCTTGGTTCAAGGGGTTTCACTTCTTTCCATAATTTAAGCATAAATAAATTAAGTCCTTTGAAGAAGGATGCTGTTTTCCAAAGAATTTATGACTCTGGGGGGGGGGGGAGGGAGTTCATATATGTCATCAGATTGAAAAAATAGAAATTGAACAAGAAAAGGATGTATTTGGTATTAAAGAAGGCACAGTGTTTATCTTTAACACGTTCTGAAATATAGCTAATGCAGACCAAATATCACATTGAAGGCAGGATACAATCAAATCCTTATTACCCAGATGCTAGTCGGTAGTTACTAGTTTCACCACTAGGTGGCTGATTCGGGTAAATTAACATGGCAGGTATATATATTTAAGTTTAAAGAGATAAATTTTCATATAATCCTTATGTGTCTGATTATACAAATGAAAATATGTCCAGTAAAAGAAATTATCCCACACTTAGTGTACTAAATGTATAATACCATTAAAAAATAAATTTGATATTTATTGGCAAAATGAATATCCGGAGGATATTGTAACGATATACTCTGGGCGGAGGATATCATGACGATATACTCCGGAAAACCCAATATGCGGAGGATATTGTGACGATATACTCCACTTGTTGATTTCCGACCAAATTGACTCTATTTGGCATAAAATTCATTTTGCAATGATATTATACATTTAGTACACTCCTTGTAAGTGTAGGATAATAAGAACATCCTATGATTTTTTCAGAATATCATTTTAATCTACTCTGTGATATTGATATATACACTCATTCGCTTTGCACTCTCGTTCAGATATCAATATCACCTCGTAGATAAAAATGATATTCCTCAAAATCATAGGATATTCTGCTCAACACAAAAAACAACATTTCACTTTTGTGATTTTGTAACATGGGATCTATGGGGAATCTTGCCGACCTAGAAGTTACATTTTCAAAGAAGATTATATTTTAAAAGTTGGTAAAAACCACAATCTCTTGGGATGGACCTGTATATAATATATATATTTTATTGACTCTTTGGTTCCAGAAAGCCCAAAGTCACATATTAGTAGAGAAGTTTTAATTTTGCTGAATTCAAGACATTGAATATTATGCAAATGAGCATAGTATATTATGTAAATGAATCATGTGACCCTTGAAGTTGTTGAAATGTTATTTTGGAAATATGTTTCTAAAACTTTTCTTAATGAAATTGTTCATTTAAAACATTTAATGTTACAGTTTTTTGATAAAAGAGAAATTAGAAAAATAGTTTTAATATCAATTTCCAAACTTAAAAGTGATTTAAGAATTACAATAAACAGCAAACGGCTGGAAAATTATCACCAAAGCAATCAACATTTTTGTTGTTTTTATAATTATACAATCTGTTGTGATCAAAAAGTTCATTTAAAAGAGTGCATCAATCCAGGGGTGTAGCCAGCACTTGTAAGGGGGGGGGGTGATTCTTTGAGTTTGCAACACTAAGAGCCCTGGAAAATTTTTAAAATCTATATTGTCTATAGTGCAATCTAAGCATTTCAAAATGTAATTTGATAATGTTTTTACAACAAATTTTACAAAACTGCTTTTTTGTGGGGTGGGGGGGGCACTCCCCAGGCTATGCCCATGTCAATCTCTGGAATATCAATACATGTATTGATATTACCACTTCCTATTTATTGTTTGATTTCATAAATCACTGATCTAGAGAATTTTCATTCTCATATCCTTCTTTAAATTTATATAACTGCTAACATTAATGGTCAAGGTATAAAACGAACTATTATATATTACCACTATAGTGACCTAATAACCTAAAAATATCTCTCTTAATAGTCCTTAATCTTCTAGTAAGGCCCATAATGTACATGGGTACATAAATGGACTAAGCTTATAATAAAAGCATATTCTAAAACACTGAAGAAGTAAAGATTATAGTTCATCAAATCTATAATAATTGCTAGACATAAAAAGTAATCAAGGTGGTTCTGATCAGACAGTAATAAAACAAGGAAATGGACAGATTAAGAAATTAGCCCTTTGTTATCATATTATACTAATTTGTTGGTTTAACAACCCTCGCAGAGTTTAGTCTCCAATTGTTATTATAGGTACATGTAATAAATCATTGTAGCCAGGGGTATAGCCAGCAAGCTCAAAGGGGGGGGTGCATTTCTGTGAGTGAAGCGAGATCTGAAAAGGGGGTAAGGGATCAAAAGTAATTTTCAACAATCTCCCCAGGCTACGCCCACGGTTGCTCTATACAGCATTATGTAGCGGAAGCAATTCTACAAATCATACTATTCCTAATCTAAAAGAACATTTATCATTCAGTATATTTTTAAGCAACACATGTAAAATAATAATATGAAGATATTACACATCAATTATCAAATTAATACTTTTGACTGTTCACTAATCTTTTTTTTTCAATCTAGAATTGGAAAAGTGAATTCTCAGTTTAATTTGAAGTTTATTAACTGACGCGGGAAGGAACATCACTGGAAAGACATAAACATGACTGGGTTTAGTGGGGGGGGGGGGGGGTAAGGGTGTTACATATGATGCCCAGTTAGTAGCCCATGTTGTTTCGATGGAGTTGTCACTAAATTCTCGACATATCAAGATATTGAATGGTGCGAGATAAAATCTATTTGGCATGAAATTAGTGTTTTGACACTCACTTCACCTTTCATATAGTTTAAATCATTAATTAGAATGAATGTGACAGGAAAGAACAGCCAAGTACTTATTGCCCTTTTAAAATATAAACAAGTATATTGGGAATTCAGGCAACTCTTGTAAATCGATAAGAAAATATCTATTTGAGAACCAAAATCAAATCAACAGATTGGTTAAATGTTTAAAACATCTGTTTCAATCATGCAAACAACAATATCTGCTAGTGAATATCAAGAGAATGATATATTTTTATATTTTTGCTTTAACTAAATATATGATCTAAGGAAGTAATATTTGATATTTTATCATTTCAGTTGTAGTGTTGTGAAACTTGGATAGCAGAACACTTTTGGCTAAATTCAAGACATTGAATATTATGCAAATGAACATTGTATATTATGCAAATGAGTCATGTGACCCTTGAACAAAAGTGTGATAATAAGATCTTATGAAATAGTAAAAGTAATAACTTTGCTACTTTTTTCAATTGATCATTAGAAATATCATATAATATGAGGTTATGTTTTTGATTAGGTTTACAAATTCGGTTTAGAGGAATTCTGTTATACATTTCAAATTTAAATCGTTTAATGAATTCAGAAGACTACATATTTTTGGATAATAGCTACATGATCATAAGTGCAATCAATGCTTTTGTTTTCATAACAACCTGTTGTGACCAGGATGACCATTAAAGATTGGTGTTAACAGCTTTCTCTTTATTGTTAGAATGGTCAAAATGAAATTATTCTTATAAATGTTTGATTGCTGATATCTACATTTTTTCTGTAGTTTTGTTCATAATTTTTAAGTTTTTGCATTGATACAAGAAATATCCCTGCAAGATCAAACTAGATGAAGAAGTAGAATAAAAGCACTTTCATTCCTAGTGGGGGGGGGGGGGGAGTTGAGGCCATTTATATGTAGCTACTTACTTTAAAATAAGAGCATGACATCTCAAAAAGGCCTTAAATGTGTTGGAAATAATATTTGGGCCTTACACCCCAGTCACATTTCCCACGGCCGCCATGCGGTCTATCATTTCTGCAGCCAGTACATCTGTAGCTTTTCTACGCTCGCCATAGAATTTCTGCGCTCTCATACTTTTGCAGTCACATTTCCCACGGCAGCCGCACGGTGAATTTTCAATTTCTGTTGATAAATAATACTTTTTTTCATTTTATTTACATCAGGACAATTTGTAGATGTTATTCATAGTGCTAGGATGTAATATCAAATGAAAAGTGATAGTGAAACATAGACAAATAATGATTCAATCTTGTTGAGCCAGTTGATTTCTACGGGCACCGCAGAAATGAAAAATATTATAACTCCGAGTTATAATTTCTACGCCTTCCCTGTGGCCTGTAAAAATCTGCATACGCCGTACGGAGACCGCAAGGCGCCCATGGTTTTCCTACGCTCGCCGCAGAAATTCACCGATTTAATTGATCTGCGGTCAGCTTACGGCCGCCGTGCGACAAATGTGACTGGGGTGTTACTATTTGCAAAATATGGAGTACCAATTTGTATACCAAAATCACAGTAATTTTCAATTTTACAGTATTTGGAGTAGC